TAAATCGAGGAAAATACCTTTTTAATTATTGCAATATGAATACTTGATTGCATGGTTCCTACTAAAGTATAAAATAACTTATGATTTATAATGTGATAGACTAACATATATGAAGACATTATGGCAGCATCATCTACGCTATGATTGATCAAGCAGACGTATAATGGTAAAACAGCTTTACAAATAAGTACACACATTTTTCATTAATTAGAAGAGCTTTAAACGAAATCTGACGTTATGTTCTTGCACCCTTCCAAAATATCCTCCTAGATTAATCCGACTATCGTATTTTTATCATTATAGCCGTGTACATAATACACGCAAGAACAATAGCGTGGTTTACAGTCTGCGAATCTTCCATAGTCATGGCTGGTTTTAAGCCCACTCGCATAAGTAGGGAATATCATAAAATCTGCTTTAAAACTGCTGTTAGCTTTTACAAAAATATGCTTGATACTTTAATAAGAAATAAGAGTTCCGATTTACAGTTGGCAGACTCAATGTCAACATGACATTTGTGCCATTCGAGCAGTTGGCCGCAAAGTATGGAATGCCATCCGAGCAAGGTACGTGGGCCGGGAAATTCAAATCCACGGACATTCAGTACACGCTGGAACACCTCGGCGGTGAGGGAAAACACTCCGCACAAGCTGTGTGGACTCCAGTTGGCTGCTATCAACGAGAAGTAACTGCAATAGTTATTCCATACCGAAACCGTTTTTATGATCTATCAGTCTTCATCAACCATTTAACCCCGATATTGCGACATCAACGTCGACGGTACACAATCTTTCTGATTGAACAGGTAGGTTGATTTAGTTTACTTTTCCTATGCGAAACGTTTTCACATAATAAAGTCGACAGACATGAACTCCTGCATCATCTTTTGGGAAAGTGTTTACTCGGTAAAACAAAAAAATATCCGGAAATTTCGTTTATGTTATCATATTACTTCTAGTTGCTTTTTGCCGAGTTACTGGAATCAACCAGTTCTGCCTAGTCCTTGGTGGCGTCTGTGTACTACTAAAATTGTTTTCCTTCAAAAATTCCACACCCGTGTCAAAAAATTTGCAGATACGGTAAAAGGACCAGAACCCGTTGAATGGCAGTTTTGTTATTCAAAGTTATCGGTTACTCGTTCACAAAGTATACGTAGAAAAACTATAAAATCAGGTTAACGACTGCTTACTATCCAATGGTATACTTATACTAGATAGCACTCGTAGTTGCCTATTTTTATTGCAGAAGATTTCAAAGAAATTAAAAAACAATTGCCTAGTAGTGCTAAACATATTTATGGACACCTTAAAATCCGCTTTTACCAATTTCTCATCAAGGTTTATTACTACGCTTTTAAGCATTTCTTATCCCATTAAATACTTATTTTCTGACACCAGCGCAATATAATTGTTTGCTTATTCTTTTGTTTAAACTTAATTGATTTCAAGTTCACATATCATGTTTCTTTGAACTAACTATACAACTTGAAAACTTCGCGTCAACTCATTTTTAGGAAAAGACAATGAAACGACAAACAGTGATCGCAAATACTTGCAGTTCTCAGATAAAGCTCCATTTGAGGCAGTTGCGAATAGGCCCGTCCTATACGAGTTACTAACAATCGGGCTTTGCGCACCACCTGAGCCGGTTACAGTTAACCTGCCACTTGGTCTGTGATTAGCTCAACTTTGGCTGCAAAAGCAAGATAGTTATTTCAACGAGTAACACCAGACCAACTTCCGTACACATGCGTTCAAAATCGCTCACAAACACCGATAATGTTCTCGGGCCTTCGTCTTGCCAGTTTTCTAAATATATACTGTCTCCTGGAATCTTTAATATTAACACAGTCGCTCTCGTCCTGAATGTCTCATACGAAGGTACTTAATATTATGATGATACGAAATTTTATTAAAGAATAGAAAGAGTGGTTGAGAGTTCAGATCGACTGACCAGTTAAATGCTCTGGCTCCGTGTAAGACAACGTGGTAATTGCCACTTGACGTAGCTTAATGCCGTTGATGAAATTTCAAAGAAAATACTCTAGTTGAGATACATTTTCTTAGCAAAGTAATTTTAATGTAAGTCTGCATAATTTCGCGTTTATCGGACCTGCCTAGTATCGCAGACCAATTGTACATTTAAAAAGTCTGCCTTCAGGATATGACTCATAAATCCCATATTTGCATATGGATCTTTACAGGTAAAACCAGAGACTTTCAACCGAGCTGCACTTTTCAATATTGGATACAAAGAGGCCCTTAAAACAGCCAGTTACAGTTGTTTTATTTTCCATGACGTCGACCTTCTACCCGAGGATGACAGGATGATCTACGGGTGCGAGGATCACCCACTGCACATGACTGCACTGGTTGACAAGTTTGGTTACCAGTAAGTTTTTATTCCGATGCATTAAGCTAGTATGTTTTTATTCTTCTAAGTAGTGCGTACTTGTATACTGATTGTTATCAGATTTCTTGAAACTCACAGGCAAGTGGGGTTCCGAAGGTTTAACCAGGATCACAGCCGACTGTTCGTGGTTTATATGTTCGCACGAAGTGTTATCATACATCTTAATTATGTTTAGGTATGACCAGTCAGCGCTCAACAAGTATCGTCGGTGACAGGACCGCAAAAAGCCAAGGGAACATCATAAACAGCAGATAGGTAGAGGTACGGTCCCTGTGAAGATACCGATGCAATCGTTGGGACAACAATACGATAAGTTTGATTTGTCGATATCCGCCGCGATGCAGTGTCTAGCATGCAGTGTTTTCCACACCTTTCTGTTTTTCTAAGCGGAT